AGAAAGTGCTCATACCGTGGAAGGCGAGGATAGCATCAACGAGACAGACACAAACATAATCGAACAGACCGAACTATTGGAAGACGTACCTTGTGCGTACGAAGAGACTTCGACTTTCACTTTCGCCGTGGACGCGCCGACGGCCGAAGCTACCGATACCGAGATCATAGACGCAGACGACCAAGAACAAGAAGAAGCAGAGTCCACACAAGACGCGACGCTCGCGAAGCTATTTCGTTCGCCACTCAGGGAGCAGTCGAATATCCCGACCGCATCACCGGAGAAGGTCGAATATCCAGAGCTTCCTCTGAGCGACAACTTAGAAGCAGAGGCGGAGACGGCTATGACCGAGGTTGTATCCACCGAGATGATCAGCAATGTCGCAGAGGATACAAATCAAGGGGAAACAATCTCCGCTGGCGGAGGACCCGGGGAGAATGTTGAGATCCCAGACGAGGTTGTCAAGCAACAAGACGAGACCATGCTTGAAGAGGCGGACCCGGTTACAGAGACACCAGAGCCGGTGACACAGCTTCAGTATCCAGCGTTGCCGTTGGAAGATACTATCACTTCGCCGCTACCAGCGCTCGACGAAGACGCCAGCGAGGAAGACGAGGAAGATGTTGAGTTATCTGAGGTTGAGCTAGGAACATCGACAGATGCAGTTCCGAAGGAAGATATACTTAACTCCTCTGAAGCGGTCGACCGTGAAGACGAGTTTACGGAAGCTTCTTTGCAGCTGAACATATTGCGGGATTATCAAGCAGCGCTTCAAGAGCACAGTCTTGCGCCTACAACAGTTCAGTCAGAGCCCAACGAGCTTGAGCAAGAAGAGATGGATGATGATATGCGGCCTGATGAGGAACCAGCCTCTCCTGAGGCTCTTCAGTCCCCTGCCCAGGACCTTGCCATGGCCGACGCGCCTGCCTCAGCATCTATAGACATCGCCGATGGATTGACATTCTCGTTCACACCCAGCAAACCACAGTCGCCCGCCCCACGCAGACTACACTCGCCTCCGCCTCCACCACGTCCTGAGTCTGGACCTGACGATGTCACGATGACGGTCGCTATCGATGATGACACCGCCATCCTCAAGGACTTCCTCACGCGTGCTGCAGCAAGTAAGGCTGAGAAGGCCGCCGTCACTACACACAAGAGAGAATCCCTACAGAATCGACGAGACTCAGATATCATCAAGCACGCCCTAGCGTCGCCTCGCAAGGTGCTTGAAGAGAAGGATCCCAACTCGCCCACTAAGCAGCACACCGAATTAACCCTGGATCTGTCGCAAACACTCACACTAGCCAAGCCAGATGAAAAGCTTCCATCACCTACACCCGGCGCAACAGAGACCGAAACCGCAGAAGACAAGAGCGAACAAGGATCAAGACGTTCTGCACGAGCAAAGAAGACAAGATTGCCCACCCCGGCATCAATCGGACCAGCACCAGCACCCAAGATCAACATCCGCCGCGCCGACGGGAACGAAGTTGTCGTACTCAAGAAGGACGACGCCAAAGTCCTCGCCGACATGACACGCAATAACACGCGCAAGAACAAACAAGGCGCTTTCTGCGTCACCGTCCGACTAATGAAGCTCGCCATGGACTACTCCAGCCTCCCTCCCCTCGACGACTCCACCAAAGAACTTGTTGTCGGCAAAAACGTCCGCTGGGACGAAACCTTGGCGTACTACCAAGAGAACCCCGAGACCCTCGCCAACGCTTTAGCAGACGCAGAGTCCCTAGCCACTCCAGACGAACTCGGCATGTCAGACTGCACCCCCGAGCCCAAGAAGAAGAAGGAAAAGACTAGCAAGACGTCCACGCCCAAAATACGCAGAGTACGCGGGTTGGGCACATCGAATGGTACGCCAGGAAAGGGGTTACTGGCACCTGCTAGTCTCCTCCCTGAAGCTGTTCAAGAAGAAAAGGCAGCGTCGCAGGAAAAACTATCATCAAAGCCCAAATCGACCAAAGTCAAGAAGATGGCCATTGCTTCTTCTACACCCACGGCTACTTCCACCTCTACACCAACATCAACATCAACATCCCTAAGCAGCAGTCTCTCGTCCAGCACAACAGACACTAAACTCCCTTCTCTCGACGTCGCACCCGTAGGCGTCCAACGCAAGAGCCGGCTTGCTGCTCCTAAGAAAGTCGTTCTGCCACAGACACCTTCGTCTGCCAAGGCAGGCGATAAGGAGAATGTGAGTAGAGTGGGCATGGGTGATGCGACGCCTAAGAAGGGTTTGATGGCGCCCAAGGTGGTTATTCCGCCGAGTGCGACGACTACGGCGAGTGTGGGGATGGGAGTGGAGTCTGGGCTGCCGAGACGAAGGGGAAGGAAATATTAGCTGTAGTGTTGAAGACGGTGTGATGTTTTTGGATTCATCTTTGGGGTGTTCTATACCACTTTGCTGTTTGGAGTTGTTTATGCATATACTGGTGTTTTTAGCGGTGGCGTTTGGCGGGCATGGGCATTTACACGGGACCAGTACTAGCATAATGCACGCTCGATATCGATCCATTCACAAGATCCATCCTGATATCGATCCCCTGAGATATGATCATATACTCGTAAGTCGATTGCTTTTTTCTCTGCCCTAAAACTCCTTAACCCCACTCCCCTCCCACCCCACAACCACCCCATCTAAACATTCAACTCACTAACCTTAGCCCCCTCAATATACGCCTGATACCTCTTCAGCTTCCCCTCAAGCACACCCCCCTTCCCACAAAACTTCTCCACAATCTCCTCGCTCCTACCCGTATACAACTTACTATCCAGCATGCCATCCAGCTCCCCCCAAATCGGCTTAAAGAACTCCGTGCTGCGGATCCTCTCCACCAAATCATTGCTCTTACCCTCGTTCTTGACCTGCGCACCCGCCTGGTGCGACAGCACGCGGATCTGCTCGTGGGCTTCTTGGCGCGACTCGCCCTTCGCAACGAGACGCATGATGATGGACTCTGTGATCATGAAGGGCAGTTCTTCCTGCACGCGCGCGTCGACGCGCTTGGGGTAGACGACGAGGCCGGAGGTTACGTTGTCGAGAGAGAGGAGGATGGCGTCGGCGAGGAGGAACATCTCGGGGATGTCCATGCGCCGGATTGCGGAGTCGTCGAGGGAGCGCTCCATCCATTGGTCGGACAGCGTGTTGGCGAAGGAGGCGGGCTTGGACATGAGTTCGCGGGATAAGGCGTAGATGCGCTCGGAGCGCATGGGGTTGCGCTTGTATGCCATGGCCGAGGAGCCGATTTGGTCTTTTTCGAATGGCTCTTCGAGCTCTTTCCACGCGGCTAGGTGTCGGATGTCGCCGGTGATTTTTTGGGCGGACGCGCCGAGCCCGCAGATGGCGTTGGCGATTAGGAGGTCGACTTTGCGGGTGTAGGTTTGCGTTGAGATGGCGTAGCACGAGGGGAAACCGGCTTTTTTGCAGAGAAGCTCGTTGAGCTGGTCGCACTTTTTGCTGTCGCCGTTGAAGATCTCGAGGAAGGAGGCTTGTGTGCCGGTTGTGCCTTGGGCGCCTCGGAATTGGAGTGTTTCGCGGACGAGCTCGATGGCTTCCAGGTCGAAGAGGAGGTCTTGCGCCCATTGGGCTGCGCGCTTGCCTACGGTGATGAGTTGCGCGGGTTGAAGATGCGTGTAGGCGAGGGTGGGCTCGCTCTTCCATTGCAGGGCGAAGGCTGAGAGGTTGGAAATGACCTTTGCGAGTTTGGGGAGGAGAAGATCTAGGCCGTCGCGCATGAGGATTAGTTCTGCGTTGTCGGTTACGTAGCAGCTTGTTGCCTGTGGGATATCAGTCTGAGTTATCTTGACTCTCACACACACAAAAACATACACCGTAATGAATAATACCAGCAGCAGCCGGAGCGACCTGACCAAAAGCGTGTACATGCGCCATAACATCGTGTCTCCTCTTCTTCTCCTCGACCTTGGCAACCCCGAAATCATCATCCGTAACAGTCAGATGCTCCCTCATCTGAGACAGCGCATCATCAGTGATACTCTGAATACCAAGCTCTTTCTCTGACTCCGCGAGAAACAACCACAGCTTGCGCCATATCGAGTGCCGACTGCGCTGCGAGAAGAGTTGCGACATCTCCGGGGAGCAGTACCGGCCGGTGAGAGACGTCTGGTACGCATCGAAGATGGTGGCACCAGATTGCGCCTTCATAGTCGATATGCGAGACTGGATATCGAGGGAAGCGTCTTGAGCGGCCATGATTGCGCGTGTGTATGAGGGCGAGAGTGTGAGTGTGAGTGTGATGTGGTGGTCGATGACTTTAACGGTTCGTTTGTGGATTAGCCCGATAGTCTTCCGAATTCGGTATCAACGTTTGCTCTCCAACGTTCCTTGTAGTAATTCGCAACACGTATGCTAGCACTACAATCAAAGGGTTATAGAGCTGGACTGAGGGGATATCGTGAGGTCAAATTCCAAACGGTGATTCACAACGTCGTGGGCCACCCTTTTTCTATCCCAACAAACCAATGACGTCCTCACGTGTAGCCAAAAAGTTTTGGTCCCTCGCTAAACCCCACATTTAGCTACTATCGCACCTTTGCAAACGCACGTCAATGGTCGATTGTCATCCTACTGTCGGAACCTGAGATAGGCCGATCGACAAGAAAATGGCGATTTGGAGTAGCAGAAATTTTCCCGCGCGCGTTGTTGGGGTTCTGGGCGGCGTTGAGGCTCCTTGTAGCGATCTTTTGCTACAAGGCATCTCAGAATTGCTTCACTCAGACATGTCCTTAAGCCCTCGGCGGTTGATTTCCCGGTCGTATTCAATTGAATGACCAAGAACTACCCCACGCAAGTGACATGTCAAGTTCAGACGTGTTCAATGGCATGGCTAGAGTCTAGACCTTGGTATCTCATGATGCGCTTACTCCACAAAACTATATCCACCAAGAGCCGTAACCCGTTCATGCGGTTCATGCGGCTCTGCTCAAATACGAACTCCACATTTGTTTCCGTCTCCGCGGGCTCACAGCGCCGGTCCCTTCCATACGTCGCGGTTGATTTTGAACAGGTTGCTCTGCTTGTGTGGGAGGCTGATCTCGCGCTCCTTGTAGAAGCCCGCTTCTTGGAGGTAGTTTGCCAGTCTGGACAGTTAGCATAGTACTGCATGTGTAGGATGCAATACTTACTTCTCGTTATCGACCCTCGGCTCCAACATGACCCTCTCCGTCCGGTTATCCGCGAGCCAACAGTAGTGCACTAACGCACTCAACCAGATCTTGACCCTATGCGCTCCCCTGAACTCCTGCTCTCCTACCAGGCAGTGGAAGCCCCGGTCGTAATCACTGACAATGGGCAGGTATTTACCAAGGTTGTCCTCCTTGACCCAGTATAGCTCGAAGTAGCCAAATGGCTTCCCGTCCCAGCAACCCATGACTGGGAACGAGTTCTTCGATTGTAGGCCGTTCTTGAGGAACTGCTCCTGGTGGGACTGCGGGCCCGCCTCGCCCCAGAAATGCGACACCCGGGGGTCGTTCATCCACTTGTGTAGATATTCCGGATCCGACATGCCGTTTGGACTGGGCACGTGGCTTGAGACCGGGCCCTGGTGTCGAAGCGCTTTCGAAGAGATGGAAGCTACTCGGAAAGACAGATATTGTCCAACGCTGGGTATGTACCTTGTGTATAGTATCTCGCCCTGCCGAGGTGGCTTCGGTCGTATCGGGTGTCGCGTATTGTTCGTGAAGACGTATTGCGCGGGAGGCGGTGGGTAGAACGTGGGTAAATGCGAGCTCGAGTGGAAGGGACCTGGCGCAGTCGGTGACCACAAGCCTGGTGAGACCTGGTCCAGTTGATGTTCTTGCTTCGCATCAGATCCAAGCGCGGGAGACGACGGTCGCGAGGGATACGGCGAGCCTGATGGGAAGGGTGAGTTTGTGTTGGCCAGCGGCGAAAGAGTGAAGAGGTATATTCTGGGGTCGAGCTGCCAAAAGGTCCTCCGACTGACAAACATGCGCTCCCAGCCTTCAGGAGACGATTCCTCTTGTGCACACCCAACAGTCGAATCTTCGCTGGCGATGAGTCCCATGCGCTCCAACTTGGGCAGCACAACTTTGCCCTTGAACACGCCCTCCCTGTTGATGTTTATGCGCCATTCGCCCTTTGGCTTTCCTGCATCCGCAGTGTTCTTGGAGATCGCGTTCGTGACCTGGAGCGTCGGTTCGGGTTGGTGAAAGTACCAGTACAGTGTCGCCCACAGCATCATCGCGATTTGGCGGGTTGGTGAGGCAGCGGGCTTGAACTCGCTACTGCTGGGGTTCGATATGGACGATATGTAGAGGTGGTCTCCGTTCAAGGTCGGCCTTTTGAAGCGATGCACATGGCGCGGTGGGAACAGCTCCTCCTCACCCTGCTGCTGCTGCTCTTGTTCGTTCGTAGGGGGCTCATCTTCGGAATTGAGCACGATTGTCCAGCCAGGTGGGAACGGCGAATGCGTGTGAATATCGCTCGACTTGAAGAAGAGGCCGCCAAACACGGGCGTGACGGTAAGGTTTTGGCCGTTGGGCAGATGGACGACATTGACTGGCGCCATGATGACGTTGGCGGGGTAGCTCGATTATGTTAGAAGGAAGATGGAGCGCGAAGCACGATCGTAGTGGTAATGTTCCAAATGCAGGGCAACCCTCAATCACCTCACATGGGGTGAGATCTATGGTACTTGGATCAAGCGTCTCTTTTTTGCGGCACGCGATAGTCAAAAACTGCACAGCTGTCACCCACGTCTTGATTGACTAGTTTCTGTCTGAGAACGCCCGCGCGGGGCTTTCGCGGGGCATTAGCATATACTGGAGCTTTCTGTTCTTTTTGAGATGCTCTCACATGAAAATGCACATGTCCTGATACAGATGCTGCATACATCATGCGAACGTAAGGCGACATGCAAGCGTCATCATTGGCCGGGGAGCGCATGGCCGTGAGGGAGTGGAGGAGCTCTGAGCTCGGCGGTCGGCATCTTCGCATATGACGAAATGGGCAGTAGATAAATCCGAAGCTTCCCCAGAGTTCCACGACCTCTCAACACCAACAACAACACACCACACACTCTCAATTGAACACACCACATCAATTGAAGCCATCATGAAAACTGCACTCCTCCGCACATCCGCCCTGCGCTCCGCAGCCCGAGCCGCAGCTCCCACCACATCTCGCGCCGGCCTCGCAGGCACGACATTTGTCCGCGGCAAGGCCACGCTGCCCGACCTCCCATGTACGACTCCATTCCTCATCCTATAGATATCACCTACTAACAACCCCCAGACGACTACGGCGCGCTCGAACCCTCCATCTCAGGCAAGATAATGGAGCTCCACCACAAGAACCACCACAACACCTACGTAACCTCCTTCAACAACTTCAGCGAGCAAATCGCCGAAGCCAAGCAAAAAGAAGACATCAAGGCGCAAATCGCCCTGCAGCCCTTGATCAACTTCCACGGCGGCGGCCACATCAACCACAGCCTCTTCTGGGAGAACCTCGCGCCTGCCAACCAGGGCGGCGGCGAGCCCCCGTCGGGCGCCCTGTCTGCTGCTATCAACAACAGCTACGGCAGCCTCGACGCGTTCAAGGAGAAGTTCAACACCGCGCTTGCGGGTATTCAGGGTAGTGGCTGGGCGTGGTTGGTGCAGGATACCCAGACCGGTGCTATTCAGATTAGGACGTATGCGAACCAGGATCCGGTTGTGGGGCAGTTCCGTCCTATTCTGGGTGTTGATGCTTGGGAGCATGCTTACTAGTAAGTGAACCATAGACCTTTGACTATGGATATCAGACTAACCTTCTCGTAGCCTCGACTACCAGAACCGCAAGGCCGAGTACTTCAAGGCTATCTGGAACGTCATCAACTGGAAGGCCGCTGAGAAGCGCTTCCAGTAGATCCGATGCCTCTTCGGCAGGACAAGGTTCCTAACTCGCCGTTGAAATGGAAGTGATCAGGGACAGTTGATCTTCATAGTCTGTATAGTGTAGTAATGCAAGCGAATGGATTAATGCAAAATTACAAATCGTATATCATTCGTCATCCCATATATATACCCTCGAAATTATCTACTTGCTATGCTAATCAATATGTTCAGACGCTGATAATGCAGATGTTGCTAAAGAACCCTTCTAACGCTGTACAATGCCATCCCAAAGAAATGCCAGATGCCAGATACCAACCAAACACGCTACACCGAAGCATACCCCAAGTAACCCCTCCCACTACGCGCAAAGACAAAACTAATGCCTAACCCCCTGCATCCACCGATCAATCTGATCCCTCTGCCTGGGATCCATGGGCGGCTCCATCATCCCCCCATGCATCATCCCATTCATACCCATCGGCATCTGCATGCCATTCATACCCATCCCGCCCATCTGCATGCCCCCCATTTGCATACCGTTCATCTGCATCCCACCCATCTGCATCGGCATCTGCATACCCATTCCGTTCATCTGCATGCCCATGCCATTCATCTGCGATCCCATGCCCATCATGCCGCCCTGTTGCATCATGCCCGGCTGCTGCATGCCCATCTGCATGGGCATACCCATCATGGACTGGTGTTGTCCCATGCCGTTCATCATGCCGGGCATTTGCATGCCCATCATACCTTGCTGGGGCGGCATGGCGCTCATTCTTTGCTGGTTGGCCATCATCATGGGGTTCTGAGCGTTCTTGTAGGCTTGGATCTTCTGGCCGAGCGGGATGTCGTCGTCGTCTTTTTGGTTGTTGGTCATGTTTTTGAGGAGTGGGTCCATGGAGCCGTAGGATGTGGCGCGCATAGTTGCGGTGAGACGTTGCTGCTTTTTGCGCCCTTGGTCTAGCTCGTTTTGATGGAGGAGGCTGCCTTGGGGGAGGTGCGAGACGAGGGCTTCGTTGGAAACTTTGCGCGCTTGGTTGTGCGGGTCGATGGGGTTGGCGGAGAGGATGTCGGCGAGACTGCTGGAGGAACGCAGATTGGGTCGGTGGCCGGATTGAGGGGCTTGTTCGCCTCGTAGGGCGGCTTCAGCTTGCAGGCGGGCGCGACGTTGGCCGAGGGTCTCTTCTTCCTCTTCGTCGTCGGCAGCGGGAGGGGGTGCTGGAGGAGTGTCTTTGGATTGCTCCTGGCCTTCTGGAACACCGAACTTGCTCATCATCTCAGAGGCGAAGTCATCGCTGACTGTGCTCTTACGCACATCGCCGAGTGCTGATTCACGTTGTTGCTTCTCCTTGATGCGGCGCATACGGTCAGCCAGCGTCTCGCCAGGCTCCTCATCCGAGTCTGGTTCCGGCGTTGTGATGGTAGGAAGGTTGAGCTGGCTTGATGAGGCTCCAAGGTACTGTGTGCGTCGTTGATTAGGGTCAATGCCGAGTAGCCTGGTGCGACGGCTACTGAGGGGTTCGCGGTCCTCCAACTCTCGCTGCTCGATAAGACCCATGCTCTTTTGACGCATTTGCTGTTGCTGTTGAGGTCTGTAGAGAACACCAAGAGGTACGTCGTCATCTGAGTCTTCTTCCGGCGGAGCTTCCCAGGCAAGGTTTACTTTTTTGCGGATTCGTCGTTGCTTCTCGGCTTCCGCCACGTCGTTCATCTGGAGCAGGGTTTGTCTACCGTCAATCAACCCCTGCTCCATCAGTGTCACGTAGTTCATCTTCCGACCCTGCTGTTTCGCCTTGCGTAGCTGAAGCTCAGCGAGAAGAGTAGTCGGCGCGCCGTATTGTGGTTCTGGCTCCCCTTCCTCTTCGCTCGATTCTTCTTCTTCTCCTTCTTCATAATGGTCTTCGGTGTGTTCTTCAAATGAAGGTCGAATAGCATCGGGATCACGTCCATCCGGTCCTCGTGCGTCCTCGTCACGCTCCTCTAATTGGTCACCGAGGCTCATCCGGCTTTCACTTGCTTTGACAAGTAATAGATTCATGTCAGCCGAGCTGTTTCGTTTCTTCAACTTCTTCAGGCGCTCGCCCTTTGCGTTGTGGTCAGTATCCAGTATGTTGAACGAGCTGCGTCTTCGCGTCTCTGCCAGTGTCGGTGGCATCTCCGGTAGTTTGGAACTCCTACGCTTGCGTTCCGCACCGTACACCTCGTCGCCAACATGTCCAGCAAATGGATGATCAGTGAATGCAGACACAGGAGCATGTGCAGAGGCGTCCAGGATGCTTTCGAGCGTATCCTCTGCAGACTCTCCCTTGACGGCAAACTCCTGAGTGGGGGCAGCTCGGTTGTCAAAGTAGGCGCTTGCTCGTAATTGCGGTGGGAGCGCCATGAGACTCTGCCGGCTCTTCCTGTTGTTAGGCTTCGGGTCTGCCAGATTATCACCAAGCAATGGCATGGATTTCCTATGCTCGTTTTGCATGGAATCCAACAATCGTGACCGACGATTGGCTTGTTGACTCATATTAGGCAATTGTGACAGGCGCTTGGGTAGGTTCAGCATCTTCGGTACGGGAGCCGGGTAGAAGACCATGCTATCGTCTGGCGGCGGTGCGCCTATTGAGTGAACGCTCGGATTTGATTTCATCATGTAGGAATGATTCGAGGAATGTCGGCTGTGGCTGTGGTGAGATGGTTCGGGTTCCTCCTCCACAGTATCTGGACAGTGGACGCCATCGAAGTCATGCCATAGTGTACGTGCTTGGTGTGTAGTGTCGGTCGAGGCTGCTGTCGGCGGTCGGTCTACGAAATCGCGGTAGTCTGGATATTGGTTCTGCAATTCCTCGTCGGGCTCCGGGCGTCTAGGTGGGGTGCCTATATGGATACTGTTACGCAGCTCTTCTGGCAGACCATTCGCGACTTCATCGAATATGCGTGTAAAGGACGAGACCTTCCGTTGGGGCGGCGAAGCAGAGTCGCGCTCTTCATTGTGTTCCTCTTCGACTTCCTCCGGGTGTACAATCTGTCCGAGACGCGATGCCTTTGATTCCGAGCGCTGGCGCTGGACCGAAGTCGAGGGTTTGGACCAGTTGCCTGTCCCTGAGCGCAGCGACCCTGCAGGAGAGGTTATGTAACCGCCCGGAGAGTATCCGCCCCATCGTGCATTTCCGTTGAGGTCTACGATTGAATTGGTGTGGGAGCCTATCGAAACGCCGCGACTTCGGGTGCTGGCCTGTCTCGTAGGCTCGAGGTCGTTCGTCTGTAGTGAAGATCGCCGACTGTCAGTCAGCTTTAGTTCCGAGTATGTCTTCCGAATCTCCTCCTGCAGGTCTGAGCCGGACTCGCTCATGCGTTCGGCATGTTCTTCCAGGCGTTCGATGTTGCCCACATATGCCCCTTGCAGCGACTGGAGATCGGGCACCGGATGACGGAGGTCGCCGTCAGTCTTGGGGGAAGTCATCACAAAGACAGGCAGTAGAGGGTCGCCGCAGAGGTGAGAGAGTCTCTACTTGACTGCGGTGCGACTCTGGTAAAGGAGACTTTTGGTGTGATTGTTGCACCGAACCGGACATGGGTGGAGGGTGATCGACCCCGATCCTTTCCAAGAATAGCACCCAGCACGTTACGGCAGGAGCGACCCAGACCCAACGGCTCTTGGCGCTGTCACCCAGAACTCGCGACTGAACATCATTTTGCGACAACACTCCCAGTTCGTCCACGGTCCGACCACGACAAATCACGTGGCGCGCATGTCTGCCTGATACACTCCCGTATATTGCGACACCTACTACCACATCGAACCCACGACCAGACTCATCGCGCGCACCGAACAGCTGCCGGCTGCCAATAATACCCTCGTATTCGAATATTTACACATACGAACACCTCCACCATGGACGAAGGTGGCAAGCGCAAACACAGCTTTCGCCAGCAACCCAATAAGCGGGCAAAGGCTGAGGATGGCTCCGCGCTCAAGTCTGGCTTTGGTGCCAAGATGCTGGCGAAGATGGGATACAAGGGCGAGGGTGGTCTGGGAAAAGAAGGCGCTGGTATCTCAGAACCTATCCAGGTGGTGAACCGAGGCACCAAGGGCGGTATTGGTAGCGTCGCAGAAAAGAGCGAACAGCAGCGGCGCGAGGAGCGGCGCAAGGCTGAAGAAAATGGCGAGAAGTATGTCGACACGTCGGAAGAGGAGCGCCAGGAGAAGAAAAAGAGGAAGGCCAAGGCTCGGGGCGAGACACGATCCTCAGCGCCACGACCGAAGAAGACCGTTTTCGAACTCGAGCAAGCTGGCATGCATGTGCCGCTTGCACTACAGTCCATTATCGACGCGACAACCGGCGCATCGACCCCTACCTCAGGCGTATCGCTCCGCGGTCCTGACATTGTTCCATTCGAGAACTCCCTACAAGCGCGCGTACGGAGAGATCTGAACAGTTTCTCTGAGGCATTCGAACAGCTGCAGGTTGAGTCGCAAGCCATCCCTCCTCAGGAATACGCGCTGCAGAAGGAACTGGAGGCGCTCGAAAAGCAGATGGACGAGCTGGAGGACCTACAAGCACGGATAGAGTCACTGCGTACTGGTACTTTCGACGTTGTCTGCGAAGGCCTCAAGAGCCTGCGCGCGGCTTACCCGTCCAAGCCCCTACACCGTGAATCTATTGCCGTTATACATCCCCACTTCTCCAAAGCAATCGCTACTTGGGAGCCACTCGAGGGCGCGTTAGAAGGCGTGGCCGCAGCTTTCTCCGAAATGGCGAACATCATACAGCCCCGGAGTAGAAGGGTGGCGTCCCAGGCCTACACCCACCCCTCTGAAGCATTGGTCAGTCGCACCGCAATCGACGAAGAAGACACGATCAAACGCGGCACCACATCCTCATATGAGTCCATGATGCTCAAATATTGGCTACCTAGAGTGAGCTCAGCTATAACACAATGGGATGTCAAGAATCCACAGCCCATGGTGCATCTGCTAGGAGTTTGGAAGCCAGTCCTCCCACCATTCATCGCGAAGAGGGTGCTTGAACAGGTGACTACAAAGCTCTCCACTTCTGTGCACGAGTGGAACCCGCGAAAGTTCAAGAAGAGCCCACACACATGGGTTGTCGAGTGGCTGCCCTTCCTTAGACCAGCTGACTTGGACCCCAAGGGATCGGGCCTGGTCGCCGAGATCAAGCGCAAGATCCGGCATGCACTGCAGTCTATCGATCTCTCCAAAGGTCCATTACCAGGGATGGAGCAATGGAGAAGAGTCTTTGGAAAGGCAGAGTTTGATCATCTACTCACTTCCCATCTGGTACCTCGTTTGTCGGCCTTCCTGCGAGACAGCTTCGAGATCAACCCCGCGGAACAAGATCTCGCGCCACTCGAGGCTGTGTTCGCCTGGAAGGGACTGATATCGAACGAGGTTATTGGAGAGCTGCTGAAAGCACAATTCTTTCCCAAGTTCCTCGAAATCATCCACCAATGGCTCACGAGCCCGGAGGTGGTCTTTGAGGAAGTTCAGACGTGGCTTACCTGGTGGAGGACTGAGATCTTGCAGGACGACATCAACAATCTGCCTTCAGTCGCCTCGTCATGGAACGAGGCATACTCGCTCATCAACACGGCATTGGATCTTGGAGATGCGAGACTAACAGACCTGCCTGCGCCTCAGGTCGAAAGCACGGGAGCTTCGCCAGAGGTGTCTCAGTTCTCCAAATCGGTCAACCAACAAGCATCTCGTTCTACACCGCAAGTAGACGAGCCGACTTTCAAGGACATTGTAGAGGAGTTCTGCGCCGAAGAGAACCTCCTTCTCCTTCCTCTCCGCGAAGCCCACGACCAGACCGGTCTACCGCTGTTCCGTGTCACAGCAAGCGCGACGGGACGCGGAGGCGCAGTGGCGTATCTCAAAGGCGATATCCTGTGGGTGCAAAACAAGAAAGACAAGAGTCTCTGGGAGCCTACCGGTCTGGACGCTAAGCTCATAGCCAAGGCAGAGGGCAAGTGATGCCTCCCGCTTCAAACTGCGTATTTCACACCACCTCGGTGCTCGGTCCTGACAGGCACAGGGTAAGCTCCCATAGCCTCTCCTGGGCAGATGTTTTTGTTAGCCATTCGCTAATCCGGCATCGGTACGATGCTTCCTTAGGTAGTGATAGTGATGACGACGCGCAGTCAGTCGAGGCTATAATGAAGCCACGTTATCTCTCCACCAGCGTCTGTTCGTAAGCATAGTAAGGCAAACCAAAGTGCCGAAAATGTTGCATGAATCGTGAACGAAAGAGGAGTACGGCCAATGCGAACGGCTGTCACAGCATCGGGGGGTAATGCGGGCGTTTTAATCGGTCCTTGCTGCAAGCCTAGTCTGTGACTTTCGTTGCATTCGCTCATCACGGACATTAAGCCACGAGGCCGCGTAGAATTATTCACTTCAGGTGACGAGTCGGACTGCGAAGGAGATATGTTGATCCTGGATGTCGCCAATATAGTGGCTCCGTGATGGCTCGTGATTACTAGTGTGATGGGGTGACTGTGCGCTGATTCGCATATGTAGGTATAGTCGGGCGCTTAGAATAGATCTCCGTGGCCAATAGGAATAGCGGATTGAGTGCGCATTTTCTGGCGTGCAGGGGCTGGCTTTCATGCATGCTGACCGTCGTGGGTGGGTGGGGGAGACGGAGGGAGGATAGTGGAGGTCAAAGGAGGTCTCACCCTCTGCTGCATTAATTGTACTCTAGTATTGAGTACTCTGTGTTGATTCTTGCGCATAGCACTTCAAGAGAGCTTGCTTTCCTATGGTTTGTAGCCAATAGGAAGCCTCAAGACATAAGTGGGGACGTGGCATTAGAATAGCCCTAGGTAGTTCTCCATCGCCAATGGGAAACGCAGAACGGGTGCGCATTTCTTGGTCTTGCAGGGGACGCCTTTCATGCATGCGGACCGTCTCCCGTTGACTGTGCCCCGAGCTGGCAGGCGATCGCGCATGTCCGGGAGGTTGGTGTTGGTAGTCTCGAGTACTGTGCGCTCGAGCGTTGCGGCACGGGTAAACATGTTTCTTTGTCTTCACCACAACGAAGACGACTCACTGCACAACAGTTGCATCACCGCATAGACTCGATGCTTATAGCTCAAGCCTCGAATGTCGAGATTTATCATCGGCACATCCCATCTCGCCTTAGCTTCAACGAAGCGACCCCGCCTCAGCGGCTGAGAGACAGCATCCACTGGACGCCCCAATGTAGCTCAAGAACTAGACCGGCCAATCAGACCGCACATGCACCTTCCCAAGCCATCACACCCAGTCGCTCTTTCCTTGCATCCGACCACTTGCAGACCGCCGATCAAAGTACTTACCCGCTGCCCATCCCTCTTCATATCACCATGTCGCCTGCTGTTACACTCTGCATTTCACCCGGTTCCTCTCAGTCGGGATAGCGGGCACTCATTCATGTGCAATTGCGGCCCTAGATCGACATTGCACCCTGGACGACCTTGACGAAGCAGCAAGCAGCTCGAAAGTTAGACCGCCCACATCTGATTGTCACATTATTCCTCTTTTCTCTGTTATATATTTCCAGTCCCCCCTCGACCTGAGGGCGCGGCTTACGATGCTCGTCGGAGCGCTTCCTCCGGCACTCATCTCACTGCTTCTTGTTGCATCGCGTGTTTCTGCTGCGCCTTACGACTTTCTCGATAACTATCGCGACCCCACGCCGGCGGCTGACGAGGGGCCTCCTGCTTCATACCAGGCTGTCCGAGACAAGAACGTGCTGCCGTACGAGATTTGCGGTGTTGTTGGCGGCTACGTCTTTACAGTACTTATCTGGGGGGTTCTTCTCCTCACTGTTGGTAGAAAGATGAGACGGAAGGCTCTCGACCCGCCCAAGCAATTGGAGCTGGAACTCCAGGACAAACCGACTCTACCGGCTCTTCGAACAGCTGGACTTACATCGCCACCGCTATCCGCGCGGTCGTTTTTCGGGAAGTTCAAGAGAAACAGGAACGACTCTGCTGTTAGCAACCCACAGAGTCCTGTTGTTCAGTCACCAAGCTCGTTCGACCAAAAGGTTCTCGATGCCCACCGGGGTCAGGATCAAGCAGATATGGAGCGTCTCTACGCCGCCGTCATGGATTTCGACGAGCGCAAGCACTCCTCCAAAGTCAGTGTAGAAGAAACAGAGCCCATCCCCCGACCCACCGAGCGACGACGCCCCTCAAACATCAGCATCGCGCGCCCAGAATCCCACAGCGAAACCCCAATCTCGCCCGTAAAAGCCATCTACCCACCAAACTACAGCGTCCAGCAACCCGCTGCGCCCACCCAAAGCACCCACCTCCGCGCCGACGCGCACCCACCCCCAAGCCCCCGCAGCATCCTCTCCAAGCGCTCCCAAAACTCCAACACCAACTCCACCGGCAGCAAAAACGCGCGCTTCAACCTCAAGAACCTGCGTATCTCAGGCCCGATCGCAAAGTACCCAGGCGCAGACTCCGACGACGAAGCGCGGACACCGCTCTCCCCGCGCTTCTACGCAAATCCCGGTGTCCCTCCTTCGCCACCGACACAGACGAACTCGCCCACATCGCCAGAGCAATACACAGAAGAAGCACTGGACAGCGTACAACCTCTCCCCCGTCCGGCACCGCAACGCCTCGGTCCACCACCGACATCCCAGCCCTCACCCCGCCAACCCCCACCCAAACCCCTCTCCCCACCTACCTCCCTCCCCCTCCGCTCCTTCGCCTCCCCGCTCGCAAGCCCCGGCATCCAAACCACGGTCCTAGACCGCCGCGTCGAGGCCCTCGCTCTCGGGACCCCGAAAACAGGTGTGCCCTTTACGCCGTACAGCCCGTACATGCCGTTTACACCCATCACGCCTGTGACCCCGCATTTGACGACGAGGAAAGAAAGGAAGATGGAGAAGAAAGAGGGGAGGAAGTATGGGAGTAGGAGACCGAGGGTTGAAGAGGAGCTGGTGCAGAGTCCGAAGGAGATTTTTGGGGATGGGTGGTAGATGTGGATGTGTGTGGGATGGAGAGAGGGGAGGGATGGAAGAGGGATGGAGGGGACTGCATTTGCATTTGCATTAGCGATTTCTCTTTTTTTTTTTCACTGTCACTGATAACACGCCGCCGGTTGGCTGGTTGATGATGAAGTGCGAGGCATGCATAGTTCTTTTCTGCGTTTATATTTACGACGTGTATTTTATCTGAAGAAGGAGGATGGTTAGCATTGAAACGTATATATTGAGACGAATACCTTCACAACCAGTATATTGTACTTGCGAATTATCTCATCCCCATTCACGGATAAACAACATCAAAACCGATGCAAAGACAACTGGTCAACAAAACCAGCAACTCATGCATTAAAAAGCCACTTTGTATAACCCCTTCCACGCCAAAGTAAATGGCTCAATCTAATTGCTCCTCCTCGTCCTCTCCACTCTCACACCCTTTCTTCTCTTTCCTCCGTTCCCCTTTTCTCTCTCCTCTTCCTTCAAACAATCAATAAATACACACGCACACGAATAGTTGCGACGCCGACAAACAACTATGCCCAATCTAACGCGTCAGTCTCGCAAGCCGGACGAACCCTATACACTGAAAAAGAAGAAGAGTAGTAAAAAGAACCATCGGGGTGTATAGCGGATAAAATGCCACCCACTTGGCTACTTCTGTAAGGTACAAGAGGCCCAAGCCTCGGCCCCTAAATGCCAATAGTTCTGAGCCAACAGATGACGACGGTGATAGATTCTTCTGTGGAATGCCGTACCTTGTAAGTTTGAGCAACAAAGGAGATTTGATGGTTGGTAATTGGACTGGTATGGTAGTTTGACACAAAGGAAAGCAAGACACCTGGAACGCCGTACGCTGGATAGATAAGCAGCACTTCGGTCGCAGGAGATAGCAGTCGAGCGGGATGATAGTACGATGAGTGATATCGCGGGTATTGGCATTTCTCGAGAGTAGTACCCATAGTAAACCGTACCGATACGTTACTAATGTGACACTTTTACTTCTCTCTCAAAAGTTTGCCAAACCGTTCTTGGAATGACGTTTGCTAAAGCGCTTCCTGCCCTTGATCGAGTCAGTCTCGGCGTTATCTTTGCGGAGGTGGCCGCCGCCCCCATGCCGCGAGGCGGGTATGTTGACGCCCTCGAGGGCGGAGTCTCCTCCCAACGTACTGGTCGGGGTGGTGTGGTTTGAAACGAGCTCGTTCAGACCTACGTCGGCTGAGTACGAGTTGGTCATGGTTTGCGCGAACGCGTAGTCGCGTGCTTGTTCGATGCTGTCGAGCCATTCTTGGCTTGAGTACTTGCTGCCGTCGGGGTCGCTCGTCGTACTCTTGGGGTCTTCGAAGACGTATTGCTTCTCTTTCTAAGGGGGTGTTAGTGGTGGTTGGGTTGAGATGGGAGTGGGGTTGCGTACTGTTTCTACGAGCCAAGCAGTGAGGCCTTTGGAGTCCTGGAATGATCTCCATGCGCAACCTGCGGAGAGCAGCGATACCTCTTCCTTCAGCTTCTTGTCATTCGTGCCTGCTGCGCACATCAGTACGCGTGCATTCGACGTTATCATGACGAGCCGTTGGCGCTTCTTGACCGTGTTGCCGCCAAAGAAGCGCGAGAACTTCTTGGGTTGCTCCACAGGCTCTTCCTTTCCGCCTACAACATGACCAGCTGGGTGTTGCGTCACAAACATGTTTCCCAGCTTCAATATCCGTTCGTCTCGCTTCGTGAGGACCGGTGACCAGTCGATGTCTAGTTGGGAGGGAGGGGGTAGTTCGGTGATGAGGCGCGGCTTCGGTCGTGCCTGGGTTTGGGTGGATGCCGCTACTGATGGCGTTGATGGGCCTGGACGTGTTATTGGCGTTTCCTGAGGCGTAGAAGGGTTCCTACCATTCAGCTTGATGGGCTCTTGTGCCGGCGGACTGTAGGCCTTCAACCGCGGAGCCTTCTGTTTCCAGAGGCCCTTGCCCCATTGTATTCCTTCGAAGAAGGGGTGGTTCTTGATGTGCTCCATGGGTAACCGCGTCAGCGGATCCAGCACCAAAAGTCGCTCCACTAGGTCCTTTGCCAGCGGAGGGAAGCCATCCGGAAATGTGTATTCTAGACCAACAATCTTTTGGAAGGTCATGTACTCGTTCGCGGCCTTGAACGGTGGTCGGCCGGCGAGTAATTGGTAGATGATGCATCCGAAAGCCCACAGGTCGCTGGCTTTGCATGCATTTTTGTCTGTGAGGAGTTCGGGCGAGACGTATTCGGCGGTTCCGACGAAGGACTGCGCGCGGTCCATCTGCACGCTTTCCAGCGGATCGCCAGTTGTTGAGCTAACGCCGTTGTGTTTTTGCTCGAGTATCTTTGCTGTTCCAAAATCAGTAATCTTGACGTGCATTGCATCGTCGAGCAGGACGTTCTCCGGTTTTAAGTCGCGATGTATGACGCCCTTGTTGTGCATGTAGTCGATGGAGTCCAGTATTTGGGCGCCGTAGAACCGTGTGCACTCGACGTCGAATGTGCCCATCTTCTTGAGAAAGCCTAGCAGCTCTCCGCCCGCAGCCAGATCCAGCACAAAGTATAGCGATCGCTCGTCCTGGAAGGTGTAGTAGAGTCGGACTATGCCGGGATGCTCCGTCAGTCGGTTGAGGGTGTCTTTTTCGATGTTCACGTATTTGACCTTCTTCTCCTTGATGATGTGGCGCTTGTCGAGCACCTTGATCGCGTACTCGCGCAATGTCTGGCGGTCCGTGGCGGCCAGTACTGTGCTGTAGGAGCCCTCGCCCAGTGTTCTGCCAAAATTGAAGTCCTTGACGCCCTTCTTCACGACACGCGTTATCGGCCGTCCGTTCTGGTCGAGGTCCTGGCGGGTGCTTACAGCCGCGCCTTTCTCCTTCCACTCCTCGCTGCTCGATAGCGGCCCGCCTTCGACGCTGTAGGGTGAACTGGATAATTGTGAGACGCCGGCATCCATGGGTATCCGCCGCGAGCTTCTCCGGGGCGGCATGGGGCCGTTCATGGCGGACATCTGGGCTGACTGGCGGTACGGGTCTCTCCTGCTGGCCTCTCGGACGGGCATGGCGCCGGGCGCAACCCGCGAGCTCGCCGTCCGCCGGATATCGCCCGCCATTGCGTCGTCGTTGTATCGGTAGGTGCCCGGGGCGGTGGTGGACGAGGTGGAGAGGTTGGGGTGCTGGTACATGCTGGTGGAGACGGGGCGCTCTCGCATGGGCTGCGACGTCAGGGCGGCGCTGCGCTGCTGCTGGAGCAGTGGGCCGGCGGCATACGGGGGATACGCAGGCTGCTGGTGCTGGGCCTGGTGCTGCAGGGGCATCGACTGGCGGTGGGAGAGGCGCGGCGAGTGCGAGTGCGTCGACGACGTCTCGGCCAGGGGCGAGGGGAAGGCGGCCGGGGAGCCCGAGGGCGAGCTCTGGTAGGCATTGGCGGCGGGCTGGAGCGACGAGTTGGCGGGCTCCTCTTCTATGTACGAGTGTTGGTACGTGGGGTCTTGGGGCGGGTGTTGGGCGACGGCATGGTCGTGGTCGGGCGCGTCTTGGTGCTGCGTGGGCGGCGGCGAGTCGTCCTCGTCCGGGTTGGCGATGCGCAGTCCGCCGAGCGTCTGCGACAGACTCAGGTCGCCATTCATCGTGGCGGCCACGGGGCAGCGCCTTGTCTGGCAACGGCGGTAAACGAGAAGAGCGAGTGAGGTCGCAGCAGTAGCTCAGGCACCACCCGCGGCGCGTCAAAGTAGCCTCTTTTAGCGTGCGGAATACGAGCGTGCAGCGGAGGCATGGCAGGGGCCCAGCGGCCAGGGCAGTGGGCAGATAACGACGAAGGCCTCGCGGTGAGGATGCGATATGAGCGCCCGTCGTGATGCTCCGCTGCCACCGTTGGTGATGCCATGCTCGGCGACTCGCTGACGAACGCCGACCCACCGACACGGACACTCGAGTCGGCGATACACTACACCACTACCACGACACCATCACGATAGAACGCGTCTTTTGAGAGGCAGTGAGTACGCGTATTAACGCACGCAGTGATACCTCACTCTAGTATCTCATGCACCAGATGACGTTCACCTCGTGGCTCACCTGGGCACTTACATCACCAGTATCAACTCTGGTAGCGATGCATCTTCACGGCAGTCAACGCGTAAGGTGCATTGACGTCCATCATGTCGGACGGGAAGGCGCTGCTATGCGCGCCGTCACCCCCCATTACTATTGCAACGGCGCTTCCTAGTTAACAGCAGGAGAGCAAGAGTTAGAATCGGAAACCACCATGGCTCCAGGTAGGTAGGCTTCTTTGTATACTCGCCGGTACAGGCACCTCATCTGCACACCCTCTTTTGGACCCATATCCCTTCAGCTTCACCCCCGTCGTTCGCTTCCCAGTTGGTAAACATGTTACGTCTCAGACCATCGGAACTCACCCTGACGCCCGATGATGTCGAGGAGACCTTTCGTCGCATAGCCATCAGGCAAACCTCCAGAGCGACCACAAACCTGACTTCTCGCCCTACAGGACAACCAGGACGGCCCATACTCAGACGCGGCGCTCAGAGGTCAACCCGGGATGCCATCACTGCCCTGGGGTCCATTCCCATACTGCAGCCCCAACAAGCAACATTTACTTCTGTAGAAGAGGAGGAGGAGACAGAGCACACCTCCAGCCAGGAAGCGACACTGTCAACAGATCGTGACGATACCGAGGGAACCACTTCGTCCAGTCACGAGAGAGAAACCGAACCACCGCAGTCTCCAGCGTCGCCAACATGGTCACTGCCCTCTCCGGTGTCCCCACCTCGACGCACAATGCATCTTCCGTTTCGATTTGGACGAAGCCGCCGAGCTTCCACTACTCAATCTCCGCCCGATGCAGTTGTGGCAGTATCGCGTACGCCAACCAGAGTACCAGTCGGACATGCCAGAATGGGCTCAACTGGCACAAGCAGCATAGGTGATACCAGCAACAACTCCACGTTATCTCCATCTGGTGGGTCTACCGAAAGTACT